GGGAGCACACAAAATGATGCAAATGAATGTGTCTTAGAACATACTGTCCTCTGGAGTTCTAATCTAAGCTTGATTTAGGCAGTCAGTTGCGTGGTTAGGAAACCATCGGAGACGGAAAGGCTTAAAAAGTGAGGAAGAAGTCCAAAGAAGAAGTGGGAAGACAACAACAGAGGACATGAACAAGAAAAAAAGAGAGAAGGTACATGAAATCATAATGTAGATGCCTCAGAGTTATTGTAGAAACCTTGTTCTCTCCCACCTCCTCTGTCATCCCCACACTACTACCAAGCCCCATGGATGCCATCATCCAAATCTCTCTGAAACCCACTACTTCCTCTTCACGTTCACTGCCATGCTTGGGTCAGACTGTTGTGATCTGTCTCCTCCTGGCTCTTTCCACCTTCACCCTTATCCTTTCCAAATCCATTTTCTATGAGTCCCAGAGTGACCTTCTCAAAAATAGGTCCAAGCTTGTCATTTTTCTTCTCAAAAACTTTTGATACCTTGTCAAAGTGAAACATGGCAAATGCATGAGCTTTGAAGGCAGATGATTTTGAATCCTAACTCTGCCACTTAACCAGCCATGTGATTTGGGGCTAGCTTAATTTCGTCACCTATCTGAACTATAGTGATAATATTGTCATAGGATTCCTTTGGTTACCAGTTACAGAAAACTAACTCCTACTCACTGGACAAAAAAGGGGAAGATTTATTAACTTGACTGACCAACGGGAGAATAGTTGTGCAACAGGATCACCAGGATTATGCATGTCAGTAACACAGATGGCCCTTTTCTTTCTGCTCCTTTTTTTTTTTTTTTTTTTTTTTGAGACTGAGTCTCTGTCACCCAGGCTGGAGTAGAGTGGTGTGACCTCAGCTTACTGCAACCTCCACCTCCTAGGTTCAAGCAATTCTCCTGCCTCAGCCTTCCGAGTAGCTGGGACTACAGGCATATGCCACCGTTCCCAGATAATTTTTGTGTTTTTAGTAGAGATGGGGTTTCACCATATTGGCCAGGCTGGTCTCAAACTCCTGACCTTGTGATTCACCTGCCTCAGCCTCCCAAAGTGCTGGGATTACAGGCATAAAGCCCTTTTGACAGGGGAGTAGTGGTAGTAGTGGTAGTGGTGTTCTCTCTCCATCTTTGCTTCTCTCTGCACTTCAGCAACATTTCCTTGGATTGGCTACCTTGTGAATGGCTGAAACATGAATGGCCTACAGCTTCCAGGCTCACATTGCCCAGTTCAATTAGCAAAGGAGGAGAAACTCCTGCTTTGAATCCCAAATTCCAGATTCTCAGGCAAGGCTTGGTGGCTCATACATATAATCCCAGCTTCTTGGGAGGCTGAGATGAGAGGATCACTTGAGCCTGGGAGGTTGAGGCTAAGTGAGCCAAGATTGCACCTCTGCATTCCAGCCTGGGCATGAATGAGACTCTGCCTCAGAAGAAAAAAAAAAAAGCTCAGCAGGAAACAGTTCTGATTGTCTCATCTTGAATCAGGTGTCCACCTAGGGCTAATCAACAGCTACTAGGAGCAGGATGTATAAGAAGATGGCCGCTTCCATTCAAACCACACTATTATAGAGATTACATTATAAAAATATTTAGCAGAAGCAAATGGCGCTGTTCTGGATAGACAAACTAATAGACACTCTCTACGAAGTTTACATGGTTATTTGGGGGATGAAATAAGATGTCCTGTATCAATGAGCATCAAATACCCGGGACCATAACTGGATACAGTATAGGGCAAAGGTTCTGCAAATTCATGTTTATTCCCTTTAATACATCCTCACTTCCAGTGCCACTGCTCGCCTTCATCTTTTGCTTCATAGAAAAAGCTTCCCCTCTGAGTGACTACACCCCTGTGGGCACAGGGTTTGACAAACAGAAGTCACATTTGTGATAAGAAAAAAGTGCCCCTTCTTGCAATGAACACAGCCTTGAGCTGGGGCCATGCCTTTGTAGTAGGCGTGTGGGCCGGATTTCTTCCTAGTGGCCCTGTTGGCCCTGGCCTTTGGCCTTTGTACAGTGCAGACTGCCCAGCCCATGCCAGACCCTGCATTCTTCTTCATATGGCTTTCAGAAGCCCATGGACTGCCTGCATTATATGGTTCCCAATTAAATACAAACCAGTTCCCCAGCACCACTAATCATGCACTCTGTCCACCTTACATGCCTCGCCATTCCCAGGAGGTTGTGTGCTGTTCCTTCTTGCTTTGATGCAGGGCTCTTGGCCTTTCCCAGGCATTCTCGCCTTACTCCTATTAGACTCTTAAGCTCCAGGCCAATGACATTGCTTCTGCAAATCCTTCCTCAGCACAGCCAGAGCTATGTACTAACTGCCTCCTCTGCACCTCCAGAAGCCTATTCTCTATTCTCTAGCACAGCATTGCTCACACTACAGAGTGCTTACCTGTTTGCTAAGTTCCTTGAATGCTTCAGCTACAAGTGACTGTGGCTTTCTTTGTCCCCTGCCCAGGAATAAATTCTGACATCTAATAGACCTCAATAAATGCTTTTAATTGAAATACGGAACAAAGTAAGTAGGGGAGGAAGGAGGGAGTAGAGGAAAAAGAGTATGAGAAGGTTAATTAGAAATTTCACAGTTCTCAGCCAGGTGCAGTGGCTCACGCCTGTACCTGTAAACCCAGCACTTTGAGAGGCTGAGGCAGGCGGATCACTTTGAGCTCAGAAGTTCGAGACTAGCCTGGGCAACATGGTGAAACCCTGATCCACAAAAAAACCCAAAAATTAGCCAGGCATGGTGGCACATCCCTGTAATCCCAGCTACTCAGAGGCTGAAGCTGGAGAATTGCTTGAACCAGGGAGGCGGAGGTTTCAGTGAGCCGAGATCACACCATTGCACTACAACCTGAGTGACAGAGTGAGACCCTGTCTCAAAAAAAAGAAAAAGAAAAAGAAAAAGAAAGAAAGAAATTGCACTGTTCTCACACTGACCAACATTTGCACGAACAGAAGGAGAGCCGCAGGCAGACAGCCTATGGGACACTTGGAAACAGAGTGCTTTCTGTCTCCAATCCCTGAAATTTGAAAGCTTTTTCTTTAAACTTTTTTTTTTTTAAACCCCTTGGACATTATCTTCTTTGCCCATGGGAAATTAAGATTTCTGCTGAGGTCTGATTGGTGCTTCCAGCTAAGGCATTCATGGTCTAACAGAGGGGCATTCTGGATAGTCCTCCTCCCCACCCCACATACACACCAAGAGGGATCAGCCCCAGAGCTCTAAGTATTCCTGGCAGTCAGTTTTGGCATCTCCATGGGCCAACAGAATGAGGTCACTGTCACCAATGAAGTCACCACTGCATGATTCATCGGACATCAGTTTCCCACTTGGAGTGCTATGACATTCCCAGAGCTTCTCCTACTCTTAGTTCTCACTTATAGATGAGAAAACGGAGGCCCAGAGAAGGGAAGTGACATGTTCAAGGTAACACTGCTAACCAGGGTCAGAGCAGGGACTAAACTCAGCCCTCCTGGCTGAGTGCTCTCTTGCTCAAGCTCCTCTGGTAGCCCCTCCTTTCAGAATACGAGTCCCTGTAAATGCTGCCTGAACAAATGGTCCTGCAAGCGAAGAATGGGACAGGTCCTGCTCTCTCTCCCTCTAAGAGGAAGTGGCAGAGACAGGTCTTGAACCAGAAATTGACCTTAAGGCACTGTACTGCCTTCTTCAAACTGTTATTTAGCACATACAACATATCTCCCAGATTCACTGCATCTAAAGCAGCTAGCAATGTGCATACCTTTTTGCTGACACACAGGGCCAAAGGGTGGGGCCCGGGAGATGCTCAGTGAGAATCTGCAAGGAACTTTCAGGGATTTGCGAAGCCTTCCTGGGAGAATGGAAATCAGATTCGGAGTTTGAGAGGTCAGACCTCTTGGAAAGTAACAAATGGGAATACAACAGTGAACATTTCCCCAAGTGTGCTCCAAGTCCTTGAGTACTGGGAACAGTGGAAGCCTTTGGGACAACCGCTTCTCCTTCCTAGGTCTCAGTTTTCTTCCCTACGACCTAAGGGTGATGGTCCAGTTGACCTCTGTTTTGCCTCTCAACGCTGCCTTTTTCTAATGCTGTGAATCGATGAAAGGAAGCGATTTATCTCTAGTCAGCAAGTAGAGGGGTGGGGTGGGCTGTCAGCGTAGAGTGCACCCCGCCCCAGTGCCCCATGTTCAATGCTGCACTCTTGGCCAGTGAACGGGATCTGGCCAGACTGGTGTTCAAGCCTTGCCACCCAAAAGGCAGGGGTTGCCGCCTCGAGCATAGGCCAAGTTTCAGAGCAGAAGGGTGTATCAACTCCCCGGATATATTACAACGGAATACCTTCGAGGGACACTGGGGACCGAAAGGGGACCTCGGAGAATGTCGCCTCCAGGGGGAGCCCAGGTACATTTGCCGGGTCCAGAGCCAACTAGGTATTCCTTTTCCGGTTGGGGTGTGTGTGTGTGTGTGTGTGTGTGGGCGGGTGGGGGGCGTGCTTCAGTGGCTCAACACGCTGTACCTCCCTTAGTCACCGGCTTCATAGTAAATGATTCAAGCTCGTGCTAAGGAAGGCGTGGGGTGGCGGTGAGGGGGAACTAGGCAATAAGCCAGGGTCCCTGCTTTCCAGCTCAGGGACTGCCACCACCCTGCGCGCCTTAAATTTTTTTTTTTTAATCCTTGTGATCTCTCTTTCTTCCTGATTTCTAGTTCCGTTGTGCACTTAGAGGCCAAGACGATGGCTCTGGCCTTCTGGGTGAAGGTGAAATACAGATATATAATTTGGCATGACTATTGCGTCATCGTGGAAGTCGTCGTGGTTCCCCGAGAGGCCTCCACGTCTTCTCCCAGCATCGGGGCCTTTGGACGCTTCTGGGCGCTGCGGGCACTTGCGCGAGGAGCCCTCGGCTCCCCCAGCGCGGCTGCCTCCTCCCCTCCTCGCCTCCTCCCCGCCTCTCCTCCTCTTCTCCTCCTCTCCGCGGTCCTCGACTCCTCCTCCTCCTGCGCGCCCTTCCGCGCGGCCCTTGCGCGGAGGCTCGGGTGCGCCGGCGGGGCTGCGCGGCGGCGGGCGGGGGCGCGGGGCGGGGGCCGCGCTAGGGGAGGTGCCTGGGCCCGCCCTCCTCCGGGGCGCCGCGGGAGGGGCCCGGGCCGGCGCGGGGCGGGGAGAGCCGCCTGGCCCCTCCCCTCCGCCGCCCTCCCCAAAGTTGCCGTCTCCCCCGGGGCCGGCCGGTCTTATGATCCGGCGGATCCTCCTGGGGAGGCCGGGCCGGGGAGAGGGCGCGGGCGCCGAGTGGCGGGGGCAGCGGGCGGGAGCGGCGACCGGGGCCGGGGCGGGGATCCGGGCGGCGACCGCGGCGGCGGCGGCAGCGCCCCGGGCCCGCCGCCCCCTCCCCTCCGGCGAGGGGAGCAGCCGCTGCATGGGGCCGGGGGGGCGGCCCTGCGGCGCGGAGCGGCGGCGACGGCGGCGGACCCCCCAGGCGGGCTGGGGCTGAGCCCGGGGCCGGGGCGGGGGCCCCGGGGGGACCATGCCGGGAGGCCGGCCGGCCGCAGCATGGCTCACGGGCCCGGCGCACTGATGCTGAAGTGCGTGGTGGTCGGCGACGGGGCGGTGGGCAAGACGTGCCTACTCATGAGCTATGCCAACGACGCCTTCCCGGAGGAGTACGTGCCCACCGTCTTCGACCACTACGCAGGTAAGCCGCGGAACTGCTGACTAAGGGGCCGCTCCCCGGGCCGGGAACTTTGGAGCAACTTTGGCGGAGCCCCCTCGCTGCCTCCCCCGAGCGCGCTCCTCTCCCCTCCCCCGCCGCGCCCTCTGCCAGGCAGCCGACCCCACCCCCAAGGCTTCGCTCCTGACACCCCCTCGCCCGCGGATCCACCCCCTCTCCCACTCGCCCACCACGCGGCCCCTGCTCCGCGCACTTCCCACCCCTTGGCGCCCCCGGCCGACCTCCTTGACCTTCCCACAGCCCCTTTCCTACTGCCCCACGGCCCCGGGGAAACATTCGAGGGGACCGGGCGAAACGTGGCTACTGGACTTGGGAGAAGGGGGCGGAGGGCTGGGGACCACTTTACAGCCCGGCCCCTTACCGCTTCACAGTGAGCGGGGCTCAATGGAAAAGGGGGTGACATCTCGCGGGGAGCACCCCCACTTCCCTAGCTGGGTTGGGAGAGGAGGGTCCGGGTGGGGAGCGAAATTACCCCGGAGCCCAGGTCATTGTGAGCTTCTCTCCCCGCCCCCACTTCTGTCCTTGCAGTCAGCGTCACCGTGGGGGGCAAGCAGTACCTCCTTGGACTCTACGACACAGCCGGACAGGTGAGTGTCTTGGCTTCTGGCCAACGCCCCCCTCCTATTCCCCACTTCTTTGTGGCTGCGAAGGGCCTCTGGAAACCGGGGTGTCTAGGTGGGAGGGTGTGTCTGCGGGGGGGCTGCCTTTGGATTAGGTCTTTATTTCTTGTATCAAGTAAGCAAATTAGGAAAACAAACAAAACAGACCCAGATCAGCCCACCCATGTGAACCCCTGGGCTGTGAAAGTTTTTGCCTGTGTGGGTCGTTCAGTGTGGCGCCTGGTGTGTGGGTCCCAACTCCTGTTGCAAAGTGGCAGCAACCAATCATGAAGCGCCCTTATTTTTAGTTGCAGATGACCAGGTCTCCCCCCCACAGCCTCTGTCTGGTCCCTCATTGGTGAGTGGTCTGCCTGCCCAAGGAGCCTGATTGGTGGGAAATGGCATCATCTAATATGATGGGAAGGCATTTGGTCCTGGTTATGTTTATTACAACATCATTGCACTCTGGGACTCCAGTCCCTGAAAACGTAATTTGTGGTATTACCAAAGGACCACAGGGAAAAAAAGAAAAGAAACAACAACCATCCAGCCACTCCCTGGGGTGGGGAGGAAGGGTTAGGAGTTCAGTGTGAATCTTGGAGGAGGAGGGGTTCCCCCCAGCCTCCCTTCAGAAGGGCCAGGTGACTCTGTCTGGATTTTCTTTGGGAGAGATTAATTGTGCAGAAGGAAAATGCACACTTCGGCCTGCAGCCTCTGGCCAGGGTTTGCAAATCAGAGGTGGTCAGGCTGTGCTTCTGAAGGACTAATGTCTTCTGTCTCCCTGTCCCAACCTCAGCTTCTTCCCAAACTCACTTTTGTTCTGAGGCTAAGATGATTGTGTGTGATGAATTTTGTAGAATTCAGCACTGTGATTAGAGTTGGAAGACTCTGGCCGAAGTTTCCACATGCCATACAGACTCAAGTCCTTGAGAACATAAGAGCAGCCGAAAGCCTTAGAGAGTATCTTTGGGGGAAGTCCAGCAGTAGAATTTCCTTATCTGCAACATGGGGTTTAAAAACATAAGATGATCCCCTTGTGCAGATATTGTATGCCAAATGTTTAGCATTGAACCTGGCACACGCTAGGTGCTCAATAAAGGGAGTGCTGTTCTGTAAAGCTTGTCTAGATTTGGGTTTCAGAATTGTGATTAGAGTTTGGGTTGGATTCTGAAACATGCCTTGCTGAGGGGAGTGCCTTGATGTGACCTCTGGTTCTAAACCGTTAGAGGAACGTCTGAAGATAGAGAACTGCTGGTATTTAAGGTGCCTGAGGCCACCCGCTTTCACCACAATGGGCCCAGTCAGTATGACCAGTTCTCAGCTCTCCCGGGCCCCCTTTGGTTGCCTGCCCTGTAGTCGTTATTCCTTCTTCCTTCATCAGAGGACGTGGAGGCAAGAGGCAGAGCTTGCTCAATCAACTAAGACTGACTTTTAAGTCCTATCATTGCTAAACAAGAGGTAGAGCTCATTGGATGGAAAGAGGAAGGTTTTAAAAAAGTGCCTCTAATTTGAACTTCTCACTACGTTCCTTTCTCTTATCTCCTTTACTTGTCATCATAATTTTTGACCACACTTTCTGTTCAACAGGATGTGTGTAGTCAGAGCTGTTCTGAGCACATTTAAACCCTACTAGTATTTACTGAGTTTTTTCGTACCTATCAGGCCACGTGCAAATATTAAATTATTTAGTCTATAAAACAAACCCATGAGATAGGTGGTATTCCATTTTTACAGTGAGGAAACAGGCTCAGAGAAGCTAAGCTGGTTGCCTAAGGTCACACAGCTACTGAGAGGTGTTGCTAGGATTGGGATGAGGGTCTGAAGCTGCTCCAATTTGAAGTAGTTAGACACACAGGACACCATGGGGATGCTGAGGTGCCGCAGGGCTTATTAGATTGTTTGCACGTCCATAGATGTGGTACCTGTAATCTTCACAGCCATTCTCTGAGTAGGTGTCGAATGGCACCTCTACAGAGGAGAGAACTTAGATCAAGAGAGTCACTTGAAATTGACCCCACTTACAAAACCAGGGCTTTCCATATATGGCCGTAATTACTCTTTCCAGTGGAGGATCATAAGATATAGGCCAAACAGGATAAACATATTAGTGAGACTCAAATACTACTGTTTTCACCCAGTGGTGAGACACCTACTCTGTTGGCCAAGATGTGTGTTAGCCCCCTTGGTGTTTCTCACAGTGTCTAGACTTTTGTTCCTGCATCAAAGTTAGTGATATTTCATCTCTCAGCATTTGAGGGTTTATTACTAATAAGCAACTTTAACAATGATGAGACCAAACGGCAAGTGCCTGCTGTGTACCTGGTGCTATGTTCCGGTCCTTTTGCACCTGGGGAGTGCAAAGGAATGAATTTGAAATGGGGATCTACCATGGCTGATGTTAGCATAGGTAGAAATGTCTGTCTCAGCTCTGTTCATATGTGTTATGTAGGAGATTTCTACATTGTACTTGGTCCTTAAGACCTCAGGCTTCTAGGACTCAGTATCAGATTCATCTTGCAGTAATGATAATAATAAATAAACATATAAATAAAAAATTAAGGATTTATAGATATATATATCCATCATACATACACACATATATGCAAGTCCTTAAGCCTAGTGGGCAACAGAAAATGGTCCATGGGCTTTGGAACAAAACAGGCTTGGGCTCAGATTTCCACCTTAGCTAATCATGTGATTCTAGCTGAATTATTTACCTTTGTGATCTAGTAAAAATGTGTATAATTAGAATCTTCATTGCAAGGTCATAGGTTGGCTTAAACTCTTTAGCATATTTAAAAGCAGCTGACCCTTTGTGCTTAGTGGGTGTGTGAAAAATAGCACAGGAAATTATTGTATTCCAGTGTGGGCAGTTTTGTAGGGAGAAGGGTTTACAGAATGGAAGAGAATAGTGTATTCCATTCTAGTGGAATTTTCTAGACAAAAATTCCACTAGAATGCCAGATCCTAGAACCTTTCCAACAGAGGTGTGGAGCAGCTTTGTGCTCTCTAATTTGCATAGTCCCCGTTATGGGATCCGTGGTTCCAAGCCCAGTGATCCCTGCCGTAAATGCCCTGTTGTATCAGATGGTTTTCAGTCTTAACTAGAGCCCGCATTCCCATTGATGGAAGAGAAGTAGCTTACAGTTCTGTGCAGAGTTTGAGAAACAAATAGGGTATGTAGGCTTCTGCTGGTTCTGCTTTCAGAGAGTTAAGATGGAATGAGGCAGCTGATGGCACTAGAGGTCAGTTGCCTTCTCTCCAAAATGTTCACTCATGCATATGGGCATTCATTGTGTTTGAATAACAGCCGAAGTGCCTCCGTCAGGTTGGAACCTCTAGTCTACTTGCTCACTTATGGTCCCTGCCTTAACCTCAGTCAAGTTCGAAGCCATGGGATCATTTGCCTGATTTACATATTAGGGAATCTACCAGTCAACGGGTGATTGTTGTAGATGACCTTTGACCTTTTAGAGCAGGGTGCTTTCCACTTGACCTCTGCTGCTATTAGCAGCCAGAGAGAATGAGGCGAGAGAGTGTATTGGACTTAAGTCCCAATCGTGTGCCCTGCCTGGGGATGTCCCAGCACACTCATAGCATCACTGCCAAAGGGAAGGCCTCCCCTCTGTTGGCCAAGCCTACGGGTGGTCCAGGAGCAGCTGTGACATTTTGACTGCCAAGCATTTTGGAGTGGAAGTTGACTGAGGCATCTTCCTTCTCACTAGGGGCCTTGTGTGTGTGTTGGGAGTGAGGGGTTGGCTTCCTGCCTGGGCCTCTGTGGAGCTTCTCCTTTCTTGCCTGGCCCTTGGGACTCAGTGTAGGCTCTGCAGCAACCCTGCTGTCTGCTCAGGGAGGGACTGGAGAGATGGGATTTTCCCTCCTGCCACTGCACTGTTTGGAGCGAGGGGAAGTGGGAAGAGCTCGCCCTCTCTGTCCAGACAGGCCAGTGGGGAGCTGCCTGGCAAGCTGCTCTCTAGCTGTAGGCTCCAGGCTGATCTCTTAATCCTTGGCAGGAAGGCAGAACTTGATACCCTGGAGAGGGAAGGACTAGAGCCCAGTTTATTCAGGTCCCAGAATATCCGCACTCAGAGGAGGATGTGTGTTAGGGGTGGGTTTGGGATCCCTAAAGTTCCAGATTTAGCCACTGTCTCAGTGTGGAAGTCCATTTATGTGCTTTGAGATGTATTGTTTCTGTGTCTATTAACTTCAACACACAACTTCAGAGATGCGTCCATGAGAGCTATAAATACCTTTTACTCTGGTGTCCCTGGTGTTGCTTTCTCAGTGACAAGTGAGATTTGTTTTACACTTGACATGACCCAGCAGCTGTGGCTGCCCTGCACGCCCTCTGCGTGTCCACAAGGCACTTCTCCTGCAGAAGGGAATCTCCACCAGCAGGCTTGGCATGCCCCACCTTCTGATTTCAGCAGAAGGGCCTGGCACAATGAGAAAGGGGAAGGAGAAAGGGCCATGGGATTTCCACTCACCAGGTTCCTCCTACTTCCCGGGAGGGCATCCTCACAACACCCTTCAAGGCAGACTTCTCCCAGATGAGGAAATTGGGAACAAGTGGGCTTCTGGGAACCAGACAGAGATGTGAGTAGGAAAAAGGTTTTCCTACTTTGGAGAAGGCCTGCAGGGCACATTAGTAGGGTTTAGGAAATGCCCACTCACAACACCAGGCTCTGGGTTCTGGCAGCTGGGTGAGCAGAGCCTGGGAGGAGCCCCAGGATTCCTTGCAGGCATCAGCTGCAACAGGTGAGATGCTGGCACTGAGCATCCTGGTTTCCCTTAGTAACCTACTGTAGATATGTCATCTGTGCATTTTGCTAACCTTTTTAGAAGCTATTTATATCTCCAGCCTGCACCGCATCACACGGGAATGCTGGTTTCCTCCTCTGCGTTGGGAAGGTGGATAGCCTTTGTTGACTCCAAAGCCTTTGCTGTTTCCGAATGGCCTGTGTTCCCCCTCTTGGGACTCTGATGTG